CTGTCTGTCTGTCTGTCTGTCTGTCTGTCTGTCTGTCTGTCTGTCTGTCTGTCTGTCTGTCTATTACCGCATCACAGAAAAACTACTGGAGGAATTTTGATGAAATTTGGTATGGTGGTAGTTGGTTATCCGGGTCAACATATAGGATACTTTTTACCGTGAGAAAATCTCTCATTTTTGAGAATAAATACAAAAACTGCAATCTAAGAGTATACTAATATGTCAAACCTAAGTATTTGGTTTTTGGTCATCTGAACGCGGGCGGAGCCGCGGGCAATGTTAGCACCTATAATATAAAACCTATTATACTGTAGCAACGCTGTATCTACGTACCTCGAGACGCACACGAGCGAAGCGAAGTTTGTATTAATAAATTGAAAAGCTTACATAATATAACCCTTAATGAAAACTTTTTTAACTTTTTGTAGTTAAGTTTATTTAATCTGTCAGTAAAAAAGCTATAAAATTATGAACAGAATTATTAACATTTTTCATAATTCATTCAATAATAAATTAACGACGACTTGATGTGACGTGAAAGTAATTTATAGATCGTATTATATTCAGTAAAGAATTTTAATACACATCGTAATACTATGATGGGAGTATAATTTGTTTGTTAATTACTATTTGGGTAAATGTTTAGACTAATCACATAGTTTTTTACTACTATATCTATATGTGAAAGTCTGTTTGTATGTTTGCTTGCTTGTTTGTTTGTTTGATTGTTTATTTGTTTGTCTTTTACGCTAAAGCTCAGTGGATTAGGGTGAAGTTTAGTACAATGATAGATTACGATCTGGAGTATACTATATAGGCTATTAGACATTTAGGGATACAATAAAGTAGGTTTCTCTTTATTTAATTAAAAATCGTAATGTCAATTGTAATGTCAATTGTAAGATTGTATCATAGTTTAATTTTGTATATAATTTTAAATAAATAAAATTACCTAAAGCTTTAGTATTTGTGGTGGATTTTTTCCATGTTTTATGAGATTTAATATAAAGATTTTTCTTTAAAAAATATAGTATTAGCCATCGAATAAGTCAAGTATTTATTGAAATCGGTCAAAAACTAGCCAAATCTGCACATACTGCATTCTAAGAGTGGCTCTTAATTTTTTTTCATTAAAAAGATAATCTAAAATCCGCAAAAATCCTAAAAGATAGTTTTATTTTAAACTAGCTAACTTCTTACGTTTTAAAATTAAGTGTAGATTTCTCAGAGATGAGATATTTTCCCGTGATAAAAAGTATCGTATACGGTATATGTTGACCCGGATAATCAGCTATCATACAAAATTTCATTAAAATCCCTTTAGTGGTTTTTCTGCGATGCGGTCATAGACAAACAGGCAGACAGACAGACAAAAATTATAAAAACTATATATTTGACCTCAGTATGGATAATAATGTCTATTTCAATAAGATCTTCCAAAAAATATGTAATGTAACAGACTCGACTCAGTTAGAATTTTATTATATGTATAGATGTCAAATATTCGATTAAATCTAAGAAAGTATAAAAGATAATATATTTAAAAAACATAATAGAAATAACTATAATAGTTAAATATTTGATGTGTAACTTTTGGTGTACGAGCTCGATTTATAGTTCAAGTTTTTGAAATTTAAAATTAAAAACGCTTAAAGGGCCATCCCAGATGAGGCGACGGAACGCTTTTAAATAATTCATCGATTCCCGGCCCCAGTATCTTTAGTGGAGATATAAATGAACTCGTAGAGTGCATCTTTAGTAATGGTGTGTAATGCAAATTATTAAATACATTTAATTTGAATGATTTCTAGGGTATGGGCTGCTAAAACGAAGCTTCTCCCTCTGCCTCTTCCTATCCACAAAATCAATCAATTTCCATCCTAGATAGTTCTAGATTATCATGGAAAAAAACTGGTGAGAAGCACAACAAGCACAACACCCTTTTGCAGTGGAGTGACTGACACGAAGTTATGTTATGAGATACGAGATGTCTTATGAAACTAACATGAAACTTCGGTAGCGCGTTCTAAAATCATACACCGCCATCTGTTTTCCTTTTATGGTACTAAATTAGAAAGAGCTTTTAAAGCTTTTTCAAAGGATAACTAATAATGCTTTATTTTAATATGTAAAAAATGTTATATATCAAGTCAATTCATTATAAGCTTTAGTATATGAAAGTGTATTTAATTAGTAAGTAATAAATAATTATTTCAATATTTAGAGTATTGTTGGATTTATTCAGAAAAAAAGGTGTAGAGCGTAAAATTCTGTACATGTTTAAACTTAAATAATATTACATACGATCAACCGTTCTTGAGATAAAAAGCAAAGAGTTTGATTCAGTATACATATACGGATAAATGAAATTGAAATGTCTGTTTGTAATGTCAAAATAACAGGTTTTACTAATTGCATACCAAATTATATACGGTACTTAAAAGAAAAACACATTTTTTTTAAATTTTGTCTATCTGTCTGCCTGTCTGTCGGTCTTTCTGTTTGTTTGTTCCGGCTAATCTCCGAAATAACTGGACCGATTGTGACGGGACTTTCACTGGCAGATATTCGATATTATAAGGAGTAAATTAAGGTACTTTTATTTTGAAAAAAGAATTAGGATTCCGCTCAAAAAAATTAAAACATACTGAGAGGCCCACCCGAACGAAGCGAGGGTAAGTAGTAACTAGTTAGTATTCTATAAAATAATCTCCATAATTTTGGTAAAATGATGAATCTGATATTTTATTTAAGAATGATATTTATATAAAAATATCACTTACTTTTTTAGTAAATGAATAAGATTTTAGCTTATGTTTATTTTTTTTTGTATGTGGCGGTATACTATAAATGTTTTGTTTAGCCATTCAAATGAACAAAACTTTCAATCGACCATTCAATAAAACGATATCTGTAACCAAAGATTAATTAATGAAAACATACATTTAATATTTACAGTATACCCAAAGGAGAAGTGAATCAATTATACGATTCTCACCATAAATTTTCCAATCCCGATCGACGCAATCACTCTACTTGGCTATATGTCACATGAAATCGTATGTTTGTCATTTCGTTTTTAACGGTTGGAAAAATAAAAGTCAGTATGGGTTTATTTTCTCAGGTTTGTGAAATGACATAAATTTTAAGGTGTGAATTGTGATATGATAGGGATATCTCTGCAAAATATATTATTAAATATTTATACAAAGTACAACAAGTTTTCACCCCCCTTTTCACATCCTTAAGGGGTGATTTCTGGGATAAAAGCTATCCTATATCCTTCCCAGGGTCTCAAACTATCTCCATACCCATCTAAATCGAACAGACAGAGTTACTTTCACATTTATAATGGAGTTCTTTCTTGTCAAAGTCAAAAATATAAGGCTATTCAAATAGTATCCATTTTAGTACGTTTCAGCTTTACAGCTTGGGGGTTTGCTTTAACAATTACAATAGCATTCAGATCAGTAAGGAATTAAAGTTGGGTAGTAAAACTAGTTAGAAAGGTATAATAAAATGCAACATAAGTTATTTAAGAATCAACGTTTATTTAAAGATATTATAGAATTTACAATTAATATTATATATCATAATTATTAATATAAATATTATAATTAATGTGAGAGGAAGAGATTGAAGAATAAAAATTAACAAGGTTCAATTTCCTACTTAGGCAATTATTAAATATTAATTAAATTAAAACTAAGAATACATAATTAAAATTTTCTATTTCAAGGTAGTGAAATACATAAAAACCAACTTCCAAACCATTTTTTTTCATATGCATATGATATATAAACAAATTTAAATTGGTTCATAACCAATTGACAAAACTATTAACTATTCAATACATCCTCTATGTAGTATGCAGGGTAAAAACTCATACATTTGTACAATTCCGTCATACTGATCGTAAGATTTTTGATGTGAAACATCTATTGGCGCGCCTTGGCAGTAAAACCGACTCGTATGCCGTGACGGCAAACGGCACGACGCTGTCTCGCCATCATGCCCCTTCTACGCCACTGCTCTCGACTCCCTTGTACGCGCGCGCATATACTATTGTAAAACACTGTGTATTAAAAATACATATTTTCTATTCTATTGCAATTATTATTATAATTAAGAAAAATAATGACTTTATTAACAAAACTCTATTTTTTTTTTATTTCTCGCCATATTTTGTTATAAGTTATATTAATTATAATAAATTCTGATATTTACATAGATGTTTTACATCTGCCAGGCGTCCAGTGACGGTTAACTTTTTTTATTTAAAAATTAACTATAACCTTTTTTAATATTCATTCCTTTGAATAGACAAGCAAGAAAGCCAATTCTGAATGTTGACTTCAAACATTAATTATAATTTATCTCAAAACTCAGTTAAAATTTTAGATGTCAAAATTATAAAGAAAATAAATTATACTTTTCGTTATTTTGCGATATACTTAAAAAAATAATAATGATTAGGCCTTTTTTATAATAACTAAAATTACCAGTACTTACAAAAGATTACAATGTATGGAAATGACATATGTATGTATTTAATCGATTTAATTATGTCACACCATACATTGTCCTCTTCATTTAAGAGACATATATGTATATATATATATATATATATATATATATATACCAGAGCAATTCGGCAGAAGACACTAAATAATAAATACTGTTGCTTACATATTTCTTTTTATATATTGAATAATTTCAAAAAATCCGAAAGTTCCAATTGTCTCAACACAAATTCGAACTTACGCACAGCAAATAAAGTACCTTTTTAAATGAAACAACGTGCGTTTTAATTTTGTCATCCGAAAATTTAGAAAAAAAATTAAGTTTTAATCATCATCGGTCTTTCCCTCTCACATAATCACAATTTAGTAGTGATATGGAAGAATTCGTCTACATTTCCTTACTACTATGATTGGCAATCCGAAATGTACAATGTAGTGGGTTATTTACACGACATAATGTTTGACTTCCGTATGTTATCTCTGCGGCATCTGAAACAAAGTTATAAATTATTTTCAGTTATAAAATACACCGTGCTTAGATTTATTGAAATGGCCTTAATGAATAGGTTAATACTCGTAGGTTGTGTTTTTTTTTTAATTTTAATCTAATATATAAAATTTCCATGTCACAATGTTAGTTACCGTACTCCTCCGAAACGGCTTTACCGATTTTTACCAAATTTTATATGCGTATTCAGTAGGTCTGAGAATCGGCTACTATCTATTTTCCATACTCCTAAGTGATAAGGGTGGCCCACGTTAGGGACGAACCCGAGCGGCGCGAGGGTGAGTCCCTAGTTTAACTATATAATTAAAAAAAATACAAATATTATTGCATGTTGTAATTACCTATAATTAAGAGTGCAATCATCATATCAATATCATGTCTATATAATAATTTACATACGAGTATATGTAATTATTTTGACTTGCTGGTGATTTTAATTAATAAATATAAAAAAAAAAACACTTTAAAAATTTTTCCTTAGTGGTATTGCACTACTCTTATAAATGTGAAAGTTTATATGTCCGCATGTTTGTTACGCCATCACGCTTAAACGGCTGGATGGATTTGGATGAAATTTAGTACACAGATATATTATGACGTGGAGTTCTGTTAAGTTACACCTTGTTGTTTGCACCTTGTCGTGGTGGGGGGATTCAGTACTGCCCGGCAATCCAGCCGGGCGTGAAGTCAAGAAACGCACAGGGAGGTGGCCCACGTCGGTGGACATGGACCATGCTAGTTATTCCTGGTATTTGTCTGATAGCGGGGTGGACTGTTTGACCAACCACATGGTTGTTGTGGTCTGCTTCGGCAGACCTGCTCTCAGGACGTCGTGGTGGAACGTGTAACCAATTCTGCGATACCCCATTATGGCAGGGCATGTTGTGTAGTATTAGCTTTACCGGTGAGTCCCACATAAACATCCATATATATGCAGGTAGTGTGACTAAATGCATTTCCCAACGTTTAAAAAAAGTTTATCATACTGTTAGGTAACTAAGACTGCACACGAACAAAGCAAGGGTAAGTAGTTAGTTTATTCATGAAATTGAAAATGGGTTCACAATTGCGTTAAATATTGCGAAAAATAAACCTTAAAAATTTCCTGTTTTTACGAAGTTGGTTAGTCTATTTGTTACTTTTAGCTCGAACTACGGTCCCAGAAATTTACCCAGACTTACTGATTAAGTACTAACTAGTTTGAGGAAAGTCACTTACTTCAGACTTCTAGCAGCTCTTATTTATTCAAACTTAGATTCACTGGACATATTAATTAGGTTAACTAAAATTCTGTCTTCACTATCGTTCTACATTTTTTTACTATAACACAAAATATGATACTGTGCTGATGGACTTTGTTTTTTTTTAAGTATAAAATATCACATAAATACATACATTAAGTCAAAAATATTTTTTGGTCTTAAGCGAGATTCGAATGCAACTTGAAAAATATTTTTATTTATCAAAAGTGGAAAATAGCTGGAATTATTTTAAAAACATTCTCGCCACCTTTAATTTTTGGAACAAATAAAATACTTAGTTTGTGATTCTCTATTCATTAATCCTGGCACTGGGTTTCTGGTGCAAGACTGAGTGTAAATCGGCTAAGTTCACGTCATCCCAATTCTCATCCCCAGAGGATGTATTCCCTAAAACTTTGACTTAGAAATAGTGGTCATATTTATCAATAGAATTATTACCAATTGTGATCACTGTAACTTTAGAAATAACGGCTTTTTATACAAATTTTCTACTCCTTATTACCCTGATAGAAGTACAATTTCCAAAAAAATATTTTTCAGCGGATACTTAATCCTTATCTCGGTCAAAATTGACAACTACAACATTTTAAACCCAAACATATTTCTAACAAAAGAAAACGAGACCGTTTATAGTGGCTAAAGTACTTCCAAAAGCTTTTGTATCAACAAAGAATTGAACCTGCGTCCAGTTTCAAGCATTATCCCTTTCATTTCAGAAATCACAATTAAAATAAGCAATTTAATAGCCATGTAAGTTATAATTGAATTTAGCTCAATTAGACACTGAGGCGTATTTAACAGGCGGACGTAATTGCCATTGTCTGCGCATTTTGCGTGATGGCTGTCAAGAGAGCTGTTTGCTAAATTGTGTTTATTTATGTATTATTAGTTATTGCACGTGGCTCCACTCGCGTGATAGAGAAGAAGAAGGAGAATTAGATAGATAGGCCACTATAAATTTTATCGATACAAATATATCGATATTGATTTTAATTATAGTGGATACATATTACTAGTAGAACCCGTTCGTCCATAAGGGGTTCGTCCCTATGTATTTATATAATATTAAATTATTTGGATATTGTTCATACAAAATACAAAAATCGTATCGTGGATGTAGGAGGGTAAAAAATACCCTACAACCTACCAAATATTAAAAAAAATCATTAAAATAGGTCGAGCCGGCACGCAAAATAGGCGCACAGACGTCGAGTTGCGGAAACAAGCCCGAATATACCATACCATACCATATGTCGAGCCGTTTCGGAGGAGTGCGACCACAAACACCGTGACACGAGATATTTATATATTACATAATTTGCGATATTTTTCAAATGATAAAAAAATGGTCCAAATCAATCTTTTTGGGAACTATACTGCCACAGATATACGTAGATGTCATAATAATACGTTGCTTGTAACTTTATAATATAATATTGCATATAAGGTAATAGTATATAATAATAAATGAATACCATATCATCTTCGGGAGCAGCTTCCTTGATTGTGTAAGTCTTATTGTCATTAGACTCCAGAACCACTCGCGGCGGCTCACTTTCTATTGGAAAAAAAGAAAATTAGTGCAAAAAGTTTTTAACTAAAAAATTACAACGACCTCAAAATTATTATGTATGTAATTACGAGCAGTGATAGCCCAGTGATAACGCGCTCGCTTGGGAAACCGAGTAAAGTGGGTTCAAATCCCGGGTCTTGCACAACATCGTGAGGAAACCTGCATGTTAGTGACAACCTAGCAAGTTTTCGAAAGACATGTGAAGTCCGCCAACCCGCACTTGGCCAGCGTGGTGGACTCCTCCCCATCTCGTGGTGACCATCCCCTCGTATTGAAGGGTGGCCCATCCCCAGCAGTGGGACATTAAAGAGGGCTGAATACGTGATTATTATTATTCTAAAATGTAATGGGCTTGATTTTTACTTTATTCTATGCACAAAGGAATAATAATGGTCCCATACAATGGTCCATATATGGAAGTACTCTTAAAACATCTAATCAGAAGAAAAAAACCAGAAAACCGCTACATCATTAGTGAAAAATAACGCATAGCAAAATTTTTTTAATTCCAAAACATAACAATTTGCAAAATAAATATTATTCGCTATTTCTAATGTATATTTTAAACAATAACAATATTTTACTCAAATAATATTTTAATCAAAAAAAAATTACGTCATATTCGAGGTAAGGCACGTTATTTTTTTAACTCTCCGAAACAATAAATGAGAGTCATATTCGAGTATTCAGCCCCATAAGTTTTTTTAGGTCGAACAAAAATCTAAACATTTCGATTGCAGTTAGAGAGGTTTTCCAGCAATTAGTTTTAGAATATAAAAGAGTATTTTTTTTAAATATAATAAAGTAAACTCATAGATTTTCACAGAATCCCAAAGCTTTTTAAAGTTCATATGGGACATATAATTTTTTTTTAATTTTTTCTATTTTGTAATAATTAGTTGTTTTTAATTCGTACGGGACTTGAACCTAAACGAGTGTGTCGTAAAAAATTATCACAGCATCTCAAATATTTATCATTACAATATTTATATCGTATGTATGTATATGTTTAACACGTTTGTTATGTATTCAATTTTAAGAGTAGTAGTAGTAAATACTAAATAGTAATACACACTAAATCAATGAAACTTTCTTTTGAAAACTTTTTTAAAGTATAATTATCATTTATACTTAATTATAGTTTTAGAAAATTAAACAAGTAAGCTTTTAACGAATTACATGTGTGGATCTAATCAAAACAAATCATATGAGCCCCAACTTGAGGGGTACCAGTAGACACTGAAGGTTTCTACTATTCACCTCCTCGGATATCCATCGGAATCAGGTTTGAATACATAAAATATAAAATCTGAAATTTTATGTTTTTAAAACGTTAGCAGGTATATAGGGAACAAAAATGCGTAAAATGCCCCCGATGTCCAGCCACCCCCGAAAAAAGGGGGGGATGAAAATCATTGAAAAATTGTGTTTTTTTTTTCAATTTTCGGCTTACGTATATACTTACCAAATGAAAAATGTTTTCTACAAAAGTTGTAGGTCTAATAAAAATTTACAACTTTTAAAGATGATAATTTTTACAATAACCTTATGTTTTCGCGATACTTGCAAAAAAACCTGTTTTTAATTTTTTTCTTGGTTTAAATTTTTAATTTCTGCAATAATTATTTGATTTTCATGAAACTAGGGAAATATAATCTTCGAAATGCATATAATAACCAAAAAAATAAATAATTGAATTTAAAATATTTAGCCGTTACCGGAAAAGATATGTTTTATGATCTCGGGAGGATGTTTACATTGAAAAAAAATTGATCAATTTTCAGATAGGGCTCATTGAACTCTACATTTAGAAGAAATAAAGACATTTTATGGTCACCCTGTAAAAACAACTTTTAAATTTGAAAAAAATATATACGAGAAATCGATATTTTTTAATTTGTAAACTACATTTTTTTTATTTAGAATACTCACCAGATTTAGGGTTTAGGATATCCGGCTTAGTTTCCGGCTTATCTGATGCGGGATACGCTATGAGATATCTTCTACCGTTCGCATCTACTTGCACTACACTCTGAGAAGGACGTTTACTTGTTGTTGCTGTTTCGTTACGCCTAGTTATGAAAGAAAGTTAGTTTGAAAAATCGGTAATGAGAGTTAGCATTAATGAGATTTTAGAGTAAACCGTTGATGCAACCCATGGTTGTTGACTGTTGTGGTCTGCTAAGGCAGACTTGCCGTCGGGGCGTCGTAATTTAGTGCGTAAGTGATCCTGCGACAGAAGGGTTTTGTTGGGTTTTAGTGGGAAGTACTGGCTTTTCTAGCGGGTGACTCACACATTACCACCTGGTGGTATGCGTAAATGCATTTCCCAACATAAAAAAAAGCGTAATGAGGCTTTAAAATCGCATAATATTTTTTTTACTTATTTTACTTACAGAATGATATTATAATGTATGAATGAACGAACATATGAATGAATTAGTGAATGATTCTTTATTTGGGTAGAAGCCTGTAACAGAGAAAAATATAACATAACAAGAATGCAAAAATAAACAAATAATAAATAAAAATCGGCCAAGGGCGAGTCGAATTTGTACATGAATAGTTCCGTACCATCGTACATGTACTTTTTATTAATATGATTTTTACTCTTTGTATGTAGTATATTAACTTCGATGATCAATTACAAACGTTAAAAAATGTTTCGTGTATTTTAATATTTTTTTGTTTATTATTTGTTGTTATAGTGGCAATAGAAATACATACTTTGTGATAATTTTAAGTCTCTATCTATTACAGTTCATGAGATATACCACTATGACAGACGGACAGATGGACGGACGGTCAGCGGAGGCTTATAAATAGTGTCCTTTTGGTACTCTTCGGGTATGGAACCCTATAAAATAGTATTGTCTATACAACAGTCATACACTTTAACAAATAAAAACAACAGCGATAGCTTTTTTATAAAATATATGAATAACTCAGATATATGTAAATAACATGCTTCATTTAATGATGTAATTAAAATAGAATATTAACATTTTTGTTTACATGTTATAACATGAAAATATATTTTATATTTACAAATGATTCAAACTGATGAATAATTATAGGATTCGAAAGTGTTTGTAAATGTCCATTTGAATAAACTGTAGGGACACACTACTACAGGTTTGCATACCATGCACTAGTAGTGATATAATATATAATGGCTTGGAATGCGCCGTCTCGCCAGTCACGGGGAAATCGGGGAGCGAACGGTCGCATCCTTATTGTTATTAGTTATACCGTAATTGTGAAGGAAATAATACACATATATATCACTCACAAAACTTTTATTTGCCCCAATCCCCGTGCCTCAATATTGGTGACCCCGACCCGAACGTTTTGGACTTTTGATAAAATAGTATATATTAAATTCAAAAAAAACTTGATAGTGAGTGAGTGGTAAACGATGTCTCAACCGACACCAGTGAAGGTTGAAATGGGCGACACGGCGTTAGCCCAAATAACCGTTTCGTCGAAGATCGCTGATTTTTGGCGAGAATCTCCCCGTCTTTGGTTCGCCCAGTACGAAGCAGTGGTGGCCAGCCAGAAATTATCAGATGAATCAAAATATAATCTGGTCGTGGCCAAACTTAGCAGGGATAACGTGGAGCAGGTGAGCGACATCGTTTTGAAACCTCCAGAGACCAGGAAATATGAAGCTCTGAAAAACAGACTTCTCACGGTATATGAAGAGTCGGAGACACGGCAAGTTCAAAAACTGCTTAAGGAGCAGGAATTAGGTGACCAAAAACCTTCCCAGCTCCTACGCAAGATGAAGGAACTCGCGAGAAGTAAATTTTCTGATGAGACCTTACGTATGCTGTGGTTGGGCCACTTACCCGCAGCAGTCCATGCTGTTTTGACCGTTAGTGAGATCATGGATTTGGACAAATTAGCAGCTATGGCGGACAAGGTCATGGAAAGTACTCGTTTCGCGGAAGTTTCTGAAGTTTTTAGTGCCAGTAAGAGGAAAGAGGAAACGGATTTACAAGCTCAGATCGCGACACTCACGCGGCGCTTGAGCCAACTAGAAAGGACTCGACCTTCCCGTAATATTACCCGGCACAGAAGTCAGAGTCGTTCCAGTTCTCAAGGCAGAGATAGCATCAGTCGGCGTAATCCGAATTGGCAGTGCTACTACCACTTTCGCTACAAGGACAGGGCGAATAAATGCATACAACCTTGTGCATACAAGAAAGATGACAGCGGTAGTTCAAAAAACTAGGTGAGGTGCAGGCAGCGACGGATGTCTGTCAAGTCTCAACGAATAACCGTCTATGTATTACTGATAAAAACAGTGGTTTGCGTTTTCTAGTGGATACCGGGGCGAATGTGTCTGTCTTACCCGTAGTGAAATATAGAAATAGTGCGAGTGTCAATAGTGAATACAAACTGTACGCGGCCAATGGGACTGAAATAAAGACTCATGGTGTAAGGACGTTAAAGTTGGACTTCGCTTTACGTAGACCGTACACATGGACATTTATCCTGGCGGATATTTCGCAGGCGATTTTGGGTGCTGATTTCCTGTCACACCACGGTCTAATGGTCGACCTACGCTCACGTAAGTTAATTGACAAGTTAACTAATTGTAACTCTATAGCTTGTGTGGTTAATGTAGATCAACCAACTTTGAAAACTATTGACAATAACCATCCTTTTTATGATTTAATAAATAAGTATAGTGATATTACTAAACTTGTATCATACAAGGAAGTACCCAGTCACGGAATTTATCATTATATTGAAACGATTGGACCACCAGTGTTTGCCCGGGCTAGACCTTTAGCGCCGAATAGATATCAGAAAGTTAGGGATGAATTTAGCATGATGATAGAGCTTGGCATATGTAGACCGTCTAAAAGTCCTTGGGCGAGTCCCTTACATGTCGTTCCCAAAAAGAACGGGGACATTCGTCCATGCGGCGATTACAGGAAACTAAACTCTATTACTAAGCCCGACAGATATCCCATACCACGCGTTTCAGATTTCACTTATATACTTGCAGGTAAAAAGATTTTTTCAAAAATAGACGTTAATAAAGCTTATTATAGTATTCCAGTGCATTCCGATGACATTGAGAAAACCGCGATAATTACGCCCTTCGGCCTTTTTGAGTTTCCGCGTATGACGTTTGGGTTACGAAATGCAGCTCAAACGTTTCAACGTTTTATGCATCATACTATTTTAGAAGGTTTAGACGAGGATTGTCGAAATTGTATATTTAACTTCGTCGATGACGTAATTATTGCTAGTGTGGACCCTATTAGTCATCGCAGGCACTTGGAAGCGTTATTTAAGCAATTTAATAAATATAATGTAACAATTAATTTAGCTAAATGTTCTTTTGGTAAATCAGAAATTGACTTTTTAGGTTACCATGTCACTTCAGAAGGCATCAGCCCTCTGGAAGACAAGGTTAGGGCGATAACGGAATTTCCCAAACCCCAAACTATCGAGCAATTACGACGATTTTTGGGTATGGTAAATTTTTATCGTTCTCTTATTCCTAATGCAACTTTATCGCAGTCAATTTTACACGGTTATTTACATGGGGCAAAGAAAAAAGATAAGACACCTATTGTGTGGAATCGTCAAGCTGAGCAAGCATTCGAACAATGTAAGTTGAGCCTGTGCAATGCGGTCACGTTGTCGCATCCGGTCATAGATGCACCGTTGGCACTTATGACTGACGCCTCGGACACCCACGTAGGTGCGGTATTACAACAATTTATTAATAATGCATGGTCCCCATTAGGTTTTTATTCAAAAAGTTTGTCGAAAACTGAGCGCAAGTATAGCACTTATGATCGCGAGTTATTGGCAATATATTTAGCTATTCGACATTTTAGGTATATGGTCGAGGGTCGACAGTTTACTGTATATACCGATCATAAACCACTAACTTTTGCATTTTCTAAGGTTAATAGCGAAACTGAAACGCCTAGACGAACACGTCATTTAGTTTATATTAGTGAATTCACCACGAGTATTAAGTTCATCAGTGGGGAAGATAACAGAATCGCTGACGCTTTGTCTCGCGTCGAGACTGTCGATTGTCCCACGGTTATAAATTACGATGAACTCGCTAAGGCACAGGAAAATGATAATTATATATCACAGCTATTGAGTAGTACTAATTCTCAATTTATACTTAAGAAATTAAGGTTGCCTAATTGTGAGAGATATATAATTTGCGATACCTCGAACAATAAGATTAGACCCTACCTAACGGAAAGTTTTAGGCGTATTGCTTTTGATTCCATTCACAACCTTTGTCATCCCGGTGTTAGGACATCTAGGAAAATAGTTCAAGATAGATTCTTTTGGCCTAACATGAACAAGGATGTAGGTCTTTGGGCTAAAACGTGCGTGCAGTGTCAGCGGGCTAAGGTAAGTCGTCACAACACCTCGGCGTTAGAAACATTTTTACCATGTGATAGATTTGAACATATTCACGTCGACATCATAGGTCCTCTGCCGACGTCATCTGAAGGTTTTAGGTACTGTCTTACAATAGTAGACAGGCGCACGCGATGGCCTGAATGTTTTCCCATTAAGGACATAACCGCGGAAACTATTCGTGCGCACGTGTCGTATACGAAGGTTGGGTATCTCGTTTTGGGTGCCCTAAAAGGTTGACATCGGATCAGGGACGGCAGTTCGAGAGTAGGTTATTTAGCGAATTAATGAAATTATTAGGAATTGATAAGTCGCGTACCACACCTTACCATCCACAATGTAATGGGGCTGTGGAACGCTGGCATAGATCGCTAAAAGCCGCGTTAACCGCTCGCTTATGTAATAAAACCTCATTGCCTTGGACGGACGAATTATCAAGCGTATTACTAGGCCTTAGGACAGCAGCTAGGAGCGATAACGGCGTGTGTGCAGCCGAGTTAACGTATGGTACAACTTTACGTCTGCCAGCGGATTATTACGACGGCAAACTAAGCACATCTATAGATTTAGATAATAGCTGTGAGTACGTAACTAAGTTAAGGGATATAATCCAACAGTTTAAATCTATTTCCGTTAGGCAGAGCAGTAGTCCTAATTTATACATACACCCAGATTTAGGAAAATGTGATTTTGTATTTGTACGGAATGATGCTATTCGTAAACCTTTACAACCGACTTATGACGGACCTTTCCGTGTATTAAGTAGAAGAGGTAAGGTTTACGAGATACAGTTGCCGGGAAGAATAAGTAAAATATCGATCGACCGCTTAAAACCAGCTTACTATATTAGCGATAGCGATGTAGCGCCAAACGCAAACACTGATAGTCCAAATCGCGAGTTACCCAAAACGTACACCACACGAAGTGGAAGAACATGTAAGCAATCGGTACGTTTCCGAGACATATAGGTAACGTGTCATCACTTTTAACTAGTGTATGATACTGGTTCGTTTTATGTGAATAATTTTAAGTAGAGTTTTATGTTTTACACCCCCATAGTTATATACATTTTTATACAGTGTACACTTTTACATGATATTATATTATTCTAAGTTTTACTTTTATTGTTTACATGCATATACATTATACATTCATTTTAATATGTAAGAAAAAATTTTATTTGTGTTGTCATGACAGACAATTTTATATAGATATTTACATTTATTTGCAGTAAGCAAAATTGTAAATCATCTAGGTCAAAGAAATAAAATATAAGCTGTTGTTTGTAAGTTATTCTTTCTTTAATCACTGATTATTCGATAAATTCAATCACGGACGTATTTTCTATATATTTTAGATATCATATAGTAAAATGGGCAAAGGTATCAGTAAAGAGACCAAGCAGGACAACATAATTGTTGCTCATAGTGGAAGTAACACTATCCAGATGGAGCAAAAATTGGAGACTTTTGGGCTCATTACTTTGGTGATGGTAGTGCTGCTAGCTGTTATCATCGCATATTGTGTATACAAAAAGCTATATACAGGCATCAAAGCTTGGACTCGCAGACAAATCGCTTTCGCAACGAGGTCTGCCCAACCAGTTCAGGTGGAACCTACACCTGTATCTCCACAAGTAATCTATGCGTGATTAATTTAGAGTTAAAATATATAATTAAAATAGTTGTGAAAATAATATTTAAATAAGATAATCAGTGAATAAAGTTAGAATATAATACTTAGTAAGCATTCCACCAGTGTAATATGAGATGCATGTTATTGTTAATTGTTCGTATTCTATATCGCAATGTAAAGACACTGTATTAGAATAAGATTTTAATGTACGTAATATTTTTTTGAAATATGTTTTATTAATTTTATTTTTTTGTAAGGGGGGGAATACTGTAGGGACACACTACTACAGGTTTGCATACCATGCACTAGTAGTGATATAATATATAATGGCTTGGAATGCGCCGTCTCGCCAGTCACGGGGAAATCGGGGAGCGAACGGTCGCATCCTTATTGTTATTAGTTATACCGTAATTGTGAAGGAAATAATACACATATATATCACTCACAAAACTTTTATTTGCCCCAATCCCCGTGCCTCAATAAAACTATATTTTGATTTCATTCGATTTGATGGTAGCATGGTGTCGTCTATCTCATATTTTCTTCTATTTCTTTAATTAAGTTTTACCTTTTTACGACAAGTACTATGATGGCGGCTGCAGCAGTGAGGACGGCGGCCAGACCTGCGATGCCCGCAGCAGCTGGGAACTTCGAGAGTGTTCGTGTTGTATCTTCTATGGGGAAAAATACTATCATTAGCCTATAGCCATAATGAGGCCTATGGGATTCCCCATATACAATAAAAAATTAAATCTTTATTATTTATTCACACTAGCAAGTTACACTCGCTTTGCTATGGTGATCAGTGGCTATGTATCCAGCACTTTTTAACATCCCACTGCTGGGCACGAGCCGCCGTTCAATATGCAGGCCATCAGGCCAGAGTCCACCACGCTGCACAAGTGCAGGTTGGAGGACTAAATATGTCTTTCGAAAACTTGCTAGGTGTTTCTCAGACTTGCAGGTTTCCTATCGACTTGTTCACAGTCTATTTGCAGCATGTAAGTGCAGCAAACGTACACACATATAAATTTTCGTATTTATAATACTCGTAGTTCGATTTCACTTAGTATTAGTATACTATGAATATTACAATGTAACATATTATTTATTAACTACGAACCTCATCTCCATTAGTAATACTTCCCAATACATCTACCGTGGCACTAATCCAACAATATACCGTAATATTCCGTTTGCACGTCCCAAGAGAATCTCTTCTACTACACACTAGCTTATTGCTGCTCGGAGTTCAGAAAATGAGATATCCATCTAAAGTATAAGATATCTACTGGTCATTTAAAAATAATATCATCGTTCTTCAACAAAGGGATGATGTTTAATTTATGTTTTTGTTCGGTTTTACACTAATTTTTAGTGGTTTAATGAATAGGGTAACCCTCAAGGGTGGTTGCATATAAATTTCAAATTATCACATTTTGACAATAATGGCAATTGGCTAAAGGTCTAAATCATTCAAAATTATTTATCGTATAAGAAATTAACCTACCACTTTGCTATTCTATTTGCCTGCGCTAATCTTCTATATATAACAAACGTATATAATAATATACGAATTTTATAATAATAAATAATGGTGTTATTGTAACCGGTTTAACAAAGGCTTCTAAGGCTAGCCAACTACACGGTACATATTATGTTGTACAAGTGCATGCGCAGACTCAAGTGCAATCTCTATAACTTTAACTCTCCAATTGCCTGCAACTTTAAAACTTCAAACAGTCGTCATGAACCCAATTCCATAGTTTCACAAAACTGTTTAGTTCTCAAAATTAAACAAAAAATTACAACCTTAATTCTTAAAACAAAAAAAAAGAAAACCAGAAAAAAAAAAACTAAAGCTCTTTAAGAGGCACAGACAAAAGTCGTCGTGCTCTAATTTGACATGGACGGGCACACTGCCGAATTCTCAACTCTGCTACTGAGTGTTTCGTGACAGAGAACCCCACCTGTTAACCCGACTCGTGACTAGAACCCAGGACTTACACTAGATCAATGAGACAGTGAATTAATATTATATAAACCATAACTAAAGTATTAGTGCTACATTGTCTCAAGAACCCGTTACCAACATCTTACACGAATATGCTGTTACGTGGCTTTAATAGTTCACAATTCATAAAATATGTATCATACTGTTAGCTTATTAGATTAGCTCCCTTGAGTTCTGGATATAGAATTAGTCCTACAAGATATTCTATTAGATATTACTATCTATACTAATCTAATATAATATTATAAAGAGGTAAAGTTTGTGAGTTTGTGAACAGGAAATGCATGTAACTTAAATTTGCATCAAATATTTTTAGTCCGAATCTTCATTGGCCGAACATTTGAATGAAACCATTATTTTAGTAATTATTATCTTTTTGGTTACTTAAAATTAATAATTAAAAGTACAAATTAAGCGAGGGAAATTCAAATTTGTAAAACGCAATACCAACGAAACGTGACGTCAAATACTGTGTCTGGGGATGTTCATGTAAAAAAAAATCGATATTTTTTTTGATATAATATATCGTATTGTTGCATCGATACTTTGCGATATATCGTACAAATATATCGATATATTCAATATGTCGTAAGTTATTTGTTTGTATTTATCTATTCTGTAATATTAAATATTAGCTAGGGTTCAGTTCAATGTGAGTAATAACAGTTAGTGAAGAAACAAATCATTTTATTTATTTATTATTTATTTATCTTCATAACAATGTTAACAAGTTGTTGCAGACACTTCGTTTCTTCTAATAACCTAACACCATTTCTTACGTATTTTTGCATCTATCGGGACTGGAAATAACACTTTGTGAGGTGTACTTCTGATAGTGTTTTTGCATTCTGAGACAATGCAATACTTATAAACTGGCTTTTGAGATTTTTTCATGGTGCAATAAGCTATGAACGAGAACACCTTAAACTTTTAGCACGATAATATATGCATTATATTACAGTGCTTTTAGTACAATAGACTGAACTGTCACTACTCAGTACTCACGTCTCATTGACAGACAGGACACCAGAGCTGCCATTTAGTGTTTTGGGCTCCAGATCTAAGGCTTTCTTTGTTTTTGTTTTTTATTATAATTTATAGTTTAAGAAAAAAATGTTAATTTAGCTCGAGGTTTAGTGTTTTTTGTGCAATCCTAGCGCTGAATGAGTTTTTTGATCTGGCAACACTGCTCGACATAGTATTTGACGTCATCAATAGAGCGCGCGAAAATGGCGGCGTTTAAGCAGCTTATAATTATTCTCTATTTTAAATATTTTTTTTAAAACTTAATTACGGCATTTTTAAACAGTATTTCTTTTCTATGTTATAACAGTGTAAATAGTGAATTAAAAATATAAAAAAAGATATATGCATATTCCCTATTGTGAGTTCGTGACGTTGTAGGGGGTGATCTCTGGATCTACTAAACCGATTTAGATGAAATGTGATAAGAAGATAGTTTGAGACCCTGGAAAGGACTAAGGATACTATTTATTTCGCAAATTATCCCTTAAGGGGGTGAAAAGGGGGATGAAATTTTGTATGGGAATCAACTTAAGGACGAATAATATTTTAAAGTGGCAAAGTTTGTTTGTTTGAACGCGCTCATCTCAGGAACTACTAATGCGATTTGAAAAATTCTTTTTGCGTTAGCCTTATATTGAGAAAGTCTATAGGCAGGCATATCATCATGCTAACTACCCAAGGGAGCGGAGCAATAATCATAAATGTCAAGAAATCGAGTAGCCTTCCATACATTATTCTAAAACTACATATATACTATACTATTATTATATAAATATATAGCGACGAACCCGAGCGAAACGAGGGTGAGTCACTGTATAACATAAAGCCAAAAAGTTTTTTTTTGTAGATTGAATGCGAGCGATGCCGCGGGTTCTGCTAAAAACTACAATACAAAAAACTACAATAAAACTCTAAAACTACAATACAACTCAAAAATGGAAGGTTTCATACAAACTTTCATTCGCTATTTTACCTTTTTATGGGATTAATTTCAAAAAATGCTAAATCAAGTATTTAATTGTTTTATACCAAGTTTCAAGTAATTCTGATCATAAACATTTTTTTGGATTGTATTATAACGTTTTTTCCCGTGCGAAAGAGATAATTTTCCGCGGTAAAAACTAGCCTATGTCACTCTCCAATCCTCCAACTATCTCCACACAAAAAATCACACCAATCCGCCAAGCCATTTCGACGTGAAAGAAAGACAAACAAACTAACACACTTTCACATTTATAATATTAGTATGGATATGGATGGTTTGATATAATTTTAAAAAAGCAATTAATGGGAGCAGAGCCGCAAGAAAACGCTAACACTATAATAAAATCATATACTTCATGTGAAATAACTAAAGTATGCAAAGATCAAGGCATATAATCTGAAAAAAAAAGCCTATAATCTGATTCATGAACTATATCATATTTCTCAAGTTTCAACCAAAATTATTATATCTTCACAAACATTCAACAATAATATTAATTGAAATATTAAAATTGCTAGCCAACAGAAATACAAAATTAGAGAGAACTAAAAACAGATTTCAATACTTTTAGGTATAAAACAAAATGAAGGCAACATGTTACGTCGTTAGAAAGGTTCGAAAATTGCATGAGAATTGGTAATAGAAGGAGTTTGCTTTTTACTAGTTTTTGATTAGAAACTCGTTTGGAATTTCGAATGAAATTAGCTTGAGTTGATTGCGAAGAGCTGTTTAATTGAAAATGGTAGGATTTTAAGTGAACGGAGTGTATTTAATATTTTTAGTAGTGACTCACTCTCGCTCCGCTCGGGTTCGCCCCTAGTTACGTTTTAAGGTGATTATAAGATATGACAAAAAAAGAAAATGTTAAATAATTAGATTTGAATTCGCATAATTGAGTGAGAAATAACCATTTGTCTCGATAAACGACGTAAGCCGTCATTCTTTATTACCGTGTGGTCTAACAGCTTTTAGTCACAATTTGCTATATGTGGATTTGCTATTTAATTCGAACATCTATTTTATCTTTTAGTAAAAAGAAAAATGGTGTGTTCAATTTGTGCTTTGTTAAAGTACAAATTAAAAATAATATTATAAATAATAGACTTATATAAAGATATATTAAGGTATATTAAAACTTTTTTTGTTTATACTACATTTAAATTTATAATAAAGTCATAAAACTTCTCTACATAATTCGAACCTACTACCGTGGACTTACAAAACAAACCTTACCAATATGTTTAGCAGCGTCTCTATAAACTAGGTCCCGAATAACAACAGGATCGGAAACCCCTTTACTGTTCCTGGCAGTGACAGTCAAAACTTCTTCAGACAAATCTTCAAGCTCTGACCAACTTGTGTTGAGCCATACGATGAAATCTGCAAACAAATTTATTATTAGTAAAGAGCACAAAGATATATCTCTATAATTAAGGATTTACGCCACCGTTATATAAAATTCAGGTTAGCTTTAGCTTGTAAATTAGCTAGTAGGCTATAATCAAAATCGATTTAGTATAATACAATGAAAATTTATCTGACGCCACGTTTGGCTCAGTTTGTAGCGACCCTACTTGCTGGCCAGCGATCGCGGGTTCTAGTCCCGCTAGGGGCATTCATTTGTGTGATGAGGACGGATGTTTGTACTCCAGTCACGGGTGTTTATATTTATAATATGTATGTATTTAAAGTTATATATGTGTAGTGTATCTATCAACTATGTGGTATCCATAACACGAGCCTTGTAGCTTACCATGGAACAAGATGGTGTCGTGTTTTAAATTGTCATAATATATGTATTTATATATTTATTATAATCTATTTATGTAAACAAAAAAATCTTAAAGCATTTTATTTCTTTTCATTCAATATAAATTAACTAAATGTGCACATATAAAAATAGCATGGTGGGTAACACTCTATATCTATAATTATCGCATATTGGGAAATTTTACATTTTAATACACAAGTGCAATAATTATATGCTCTTATTACAGTCTTTAGAGCGGTATTAACGAAGCACGATCGATCAAGCAACCTTGCAAGTTATCAATTGGCTGTATCGTTTAGCTATTACAGTTTGAGTAAACCTATTCTAGAACTTGTAGCTTTAGGGATCACGTGAAGGGTAAATCTATCAATAATGTCAAGTAAGTAGTCGCGGATTTGAATCCTGGTTGAGGTAAATGATAAAATTTCGGCTGCTAGCGACTCACTCTTGCTTTATTAAGTTGTTCTTATGTGCTTAATGGTATTTTGCAGGTAATAGTCTCATCAAAATCTGTCCAACTATTTCAACATAAAATAGTAACAAACATGCGCACACAAAATTTGGCATTTATAATTGTAATTTGATTTATAAGTAAGAACTTAAAGTATAGTTATAAATACATTTTAGGTTTAAGTTTCGAATGGACTAAATCCTCGTACATATTCGTATATATAAAAAAAGCTAAAATTTAGATGTGATTTCTAGTTCGTGTTACGGAGAATGGGTTATGTAAATAGACTAGGAACTTATCTCTTCTATTTTTCATATGAATTGTGCAATTTTTTATGTAATTTAGTTAAATTGGAGAATTAATGAAAATTTTACCATTTTATTTTACTTTACTAATATATAAATACGATGATTTTTTGTTTGCCACCTGTTAAGGTGTTAACAATTCAATGAATTATATTATAAACTAGTGACTCACCCTCGCCTTGCTCGGGACGAATCCCTGGGTACGTTTTAAATTAAAATGGATATAGCATAAAAATTGGTGCAGTAGTTTTTGAGTTTATCGCGAACAGACAGACGCGGCGGAAGATTTTGTTTTATAATATGTATATAGTAGTAATGAAAAAGACTGTATGTCATTTATCTATACGTCCATTTCTGGATTTAAATCGTATACATATCTAAAATATCCGCATAATTGTGATGTAACAACAGTTAAAATTGTATAACGAAGACGAAAAACCGCCGTGGCCGAAATCGACCCGGAGGACATTATTAAAAAACTAACTAGTATCTTACCTAATTTACTAGCAGTATTATTTGCAAGTATTCTGTTGGTGTCACCCACCACTTCTAAAAGGAAGTGTTGGGCCAAACCACCATCGTAGCCGGCGATACATTTCACTGTCAGATATGCCTCACTATTCTTCACTATTCTCTTTGCTGTACAGTTTCTGGGTGGTGATGGACGGGCTAAAAAAAAATTATGTATTAATACTAGTTTATATTATTATACTGACGACCTCAGTAACACAGTGCATAGTGTGGGAAATATTATATACACGTTTCGTTTTAAAGTTTAGTATATATTTATCAGAGATGAGATATTTTTCCGTAGTAAAAAGTACCCTATATGTTGATCCGGATAACCAGCTATCATCCTACCAAATTTCATCAAAATCTGTCATGTGGTTTTCTCGTGATGCATTCCCAGATAGACGGACAGAGAGACAGATAGTAAAAAAAAAATAAAAAAAAATTTAATTTACAGATTCGTCTTACTTAGAATTTTATATTTATATATATATATATATATATATATATATATATATATATAGAGAGAGAGAGAGAGAGAGAGAGAAAATATGTGTAGAGTAAGACTAAATCGTAAGCAATAATAATTTCCTTCTAAAAAATTTCGCGTCGCTCAATCTTACTGAAACGCGTCTGCGTGGGAGATAGTATAAGTACAGGCATACGTAAACGTGTGTAAGTGTATTTTCTATTCTTTTAGCTTCCTTATTTTGGCGGGAGGACTCTTCGACTAGATCAGTGAGAGATCAGGCGAAGGATCGACAGTTTCACGTTTTCTCGGACGCATGGGGATGTATACTTCCCAATTTCGGGCTCTTGATGAGAATTTTGGTAGCAAAAAGCTTGTAATTATTTTGGCCGTGCCCGAGACTCAAACCTAGAACCTGATGATCTCCAGCTGTATTGATGATGATAAGCGTAAACATCTATTAGTTGGTGGGACTTCTTGCATAGAGATAATTTTATAGTCTGGATGGGATATGGTACTTTTTAAATTCTACAAATTTTATGGTTCTCGTGTGATATTATAATAATTTTACTGCGCCGATTAGAAAATTTTTACAATCTCAAATAGTGGTTCCATAGTAGAAAATATTTTTTGATGAAATAGCATCAAACTGAGAATAAAAGTATGTTTTAGAATATTCCATTTAAAAAGTCTTCTGTTCCATGCATCAAATCTTTTTTTTTCACGGCAAGCCAGGCCCATGCTTAACAGCTTCGGTCCTTCCAATGAAATTTTTAATAGCTTCAACCAAATTGTATCGCGACCTATTTAAGCTTGTAAATTTCTTGCTTTTTTAATTAAGTTTCATATAAGCGCTTCTTAAGCAGAAAACCTAATTTAAGCAAGCGAAGAAATGGTTGTATTAAACAAACAATTCTGCGTGCATTTTACAGTGAATAACTGCAGTGAGCGAGACTAGAACTGTTTACTGTATATATAAGTATATCACAGACTACTTCAATTCCTGCATCTGGTGAACACTGTACTCATATATATATATATATATATATATATATATATATATATATATATATATATATATATATATATATATATATTTACACCTATTCTCATCCATATTAATTAAAATCGGTCAAGCCGTTATGGAGGAGTGCGACCACAAACACCGTGAAACGAGATTTTTATATATTAGATAATATTTCATTACCATATTAAATTTGTTTAAGAAAAATATTCTAACCTGCGGCCATTGCATATCTTGTTTCAGTCCTAAGTATACATTTGTGGGGTTATTACGTATTTATTGTAGGTTAAAAGCCATAATAGCATCAAGGCTTTTAGCCAAGTCTAGGACAAGTTCCAGCTAATGTATTTAAATAGTAATGTCATTATGAGTACGTGAGACATGGTATTGGTCTCGTGGGACGAACGTGTTGTACATGTGCAGAGGCTGTTATGTTATTTGCTTTTTACTTTCGACTTGTATTATCCAACAGTTTTACTTATTGTGCTTCTAAATCTATACTCAAGGATGAAGTCGCTTTCTTATTATATACACATGACGGTTAGTATGGAATAGATACACTATATATACGCATGTATGATGAGTTTGAAGAAATGATCGATTCCCCATACAAACTTTCAGCCCCTTAAAGGATTACTTCCGGGATAAAAAATATCCTATGTCCTTCCCAGGATCTCAAACTATCTCTATGCCAAATTTCATCTAAATCACTTCAGCGCACTTCTCCAGGTAAATTTCTAAGAAATTAATAGAAATTAATTCTTAATTGACACACCGGTGTGCCCGCGGTCGTTGATGGATTAAGCGTGAAAAGATAACAGACAGATAGACAGAGTTACTTTCGCATTTATGGGTAAATATCAGTATGGATACAAACTATCGCAATTATCACCGGTACATTTAACTTTTACATTTGGGTTAAAGAAGTAGCAAAATACGCTTACTGAAATAAAACATTTTTTTTAAACATTTCAAGTAAAACCACGGTTACAAAGTAGTAAAATTAAGATATGTAAATAAAGAACACTACAAAGAGTTAAAAAATCATTTTAGAGTGCAATTTTAACAAGGTCTGTGTTACAGGTTTTATTAGTTTTATTTTTTAACAGCGAGCCAGGCCGGTGTTTTAACCGTTTCGGTTCGTTTAAATGAAATTTTCAATCGTTTCGACCAAATTGTACCGCGACCTACAAAAGTGGCATCGTAAATAAAATTTGGGCTACAAATATAATTTTTATATGCACTCAATATACTCTTAATTTCTGTTAATATTTTTGTATACTGTACTTTTAGGCAGTGGTAAATCAATGGTAAATCCTAGAGAAGCGGGTTTAAATTTCGGGTCTCGCACATCTGATATTTTCATGGGCGAATCATTTCCAACATGATTACCACTGGCCTTACGGTTTCGTACCAAATTTCATCTAAATTGGTCAAGTAGTTTCGGAGCCTTAGTTTCTGAGTTTATTCGAAACTTACAAAAATATAAATATTTCCTTTTTATAATGGTATAGTGTAGATGTAGATAGATCTGTAGACGATTTCTTGCACGAGAGCTGATATTCATCGACTTGGAAAATCTCTTTTTATTGAACGTAGGCTTTTCGGTTTCATTAAATATGATTAGTTTCTGACCATGAATTTCAATACGTAACCAAACTCAAATACGATACGAAGCTTTTTAAATTGTAATAATTATAATAATAACAGCAAAAATTTAATAAATAATATTCCAGATTCAATTATAAAACTAATTAAAATTATAAAAATGTTTAATGTTAAAAAATATTGTAAGGTAATTTTTGCAATTTTCATTTTGTTAATTGTGGGTAGGCTGTCTGTAACAACTATACCTTTAAGACATGTAACACCTCAGTCTCTCCCGTGACCATGGATGCTGTAAAGCATTCGAAACGTCGGGAACCAAAAATCTTAATAAATCCGCGAAATAATCCGAAAAGATAGTTTTCTTTAAAATGTAAAATATTCGCGTAAATCTAAGAAAGTATTACGATACGAAGCTTTTATATTAAAGCGATTATTTGGATTAAATCAATATTTTTACACGAAATATAATATGTGATGGCTATAGTATGTGAGGCTTATAATACAGAAAGACTCAATAACTAAATTTGGCCCGATCCGGGACTCGAACCCAGGTGTGCAGCCACTACACCACCGAGGCAGTTGAAATTTATTACAATAATAATTATTATTATACGTATGTATATAAGGCGTTAAAATTATATAAGCCTATTGTATCCATGACACAAGCCTCGTAGCTTACCATGGAACTAGATGCTGATATGTGTTAATGTCACAACATATTATATTTATTTGAAAAAAATAATTAGTTTTTGCTTACGAAAGGAGCACAGTTATCATATATATTCAACCCCTAAAGAGAAGTTTGTATGAAAATCTGTCATTTCAAAAGCTAGCGGCGCTTTGGGCTTTTAAATAAAAACTAGTGGTCGCTCAGTGATCGAAATCTGACCATAATCATTATTAAAAATTGGAGTACAACATATATAAAAAAAAACAACTAATTTTATAGTATTGACATGATTTGATGTTTAGTATAGATTTCTTAGAAATGAGATATTTTCCCGCAGTAAAAAGTATCCTATATATTGACCCGGATAACCAGCTATCATCATACTAAAGTTTATCAAAATCTCTCCTGTGGTTTTTCCATGATGTTGTCTGTATGTCTGACAGACAGACAGACAAAAATTCTAAAAACTATAGATTCGGCCTCTGTACCGATAATAATGACTATTTCAATAAGATTTTCCAAAAAATAATTAATATACAGAATCAACTCAGAATTTTATTACATGTATTGATAACACTAAAACTCGTCAATAGCTATTAAAAAAAAAAAAAGAAAATCGGTTGTCATAGAGCAGAAAAATTACAGAACTATTTTATCCTAGACTCTTTGTATAAGTATGTATGTATATCGATATAGTAAAATTTCACTAAGAAAAGTTTAATATAAATAAGATTAGATTAAAAAATGCATTATAAATTCTTATTTTATTGTGCGAGTAATCAAAAAATACGGTCGAATCGAAGTGGCAAGTTTTCCAGTTATCCACTCCGTATTGGAAATGCGAAGGAAGTTTGACTATATTTTGAAAGGACCGTAAAGAGAGCAATGACATTCCACTTTATATACAGATTTTGTTAAAATGAATGGTTATATTTTATAATTTTACTTCAAAGTACAGATGTTTAAAGGCTGCCTGGAAGAGATGGCTCACTTAGCGATAAGGCCGCCTGTTGTGCTATTTCTTCTTTAATATATATAATAATAATGTCATATAAATTTTTTGGTGTACTATAAAGAATATTTGACTTTGGTTCGTGTTGAATGTAAATTAATTATATTTTAGTTAAAAACGTGTTCCATTTCAAAAACTAACCTCGAGAGAGAAATTGTTTTCAAATTTTCATGTATTTATTCTTGGTAGAAACTTTTTATTAGAAAAACTATCGAGAAAAGCGAACACTAACTAACACTTAAACATACCACATACCATATCCACAATGACCATTGTTTCTTATTATATAATAATATTTATATATATTATATATAAATAATGCATATACTAGCATTTGTAAACTAAGCACATTTGCTAAAAAAATATTTAATACTAA